GACGTGGCTGCAGAACAATATACAGAAGCCGAACGCAGCACAGACCCGCACCAGTCGGCTATGGTGCCCACTCGCCACACCAGGGGTCATAGGGGCTCAACCGAAACTCCGAAACACGGGTATACCGACATCCCACGTGGAATCGGTGAGCTAGGAGAGTGCGACGGGTAGGCCACCGAATAAATGTGCTGAGCAACCACAAGTAGGGGATCCGTGTGAATTCATGTCATGATAGATAAGATCAATGGTGGGCCAATGAGGGAAGAGTGTGATGATCATCGCCCCAAACACCTGAGAGGATAATACATGACAAAACTAATCGCAAAACAACATGAACCACTTGTCCGCTAGGCCTAGAACAGCAGGAGGAGATGTAGTGCTATACAAGGATATTCTGAACAATAACAACACATCAGCATTCATACGTAAGAAGTCCGATTACATGAAGGAGACAGCTCTTACTCAGCGACTAATGCAAAGTACTCACTCGTTCTTCACAGAGTGTGTACTTTGCATTCCATTAGGCACCATATAAACAGTTAAGCTAGGATTCTGACGACAACTAGAGCCGTTTTTCTTATCCTTACTATTCGCCGTACAGTTACTCGTCTACGTTATGGCATTTTGAACTTCGGAAGGGAAAACTCAAGGGAGGGACATGCCTATTTTCCTCAAGAAGGTAAGTAAGCGAGTAGATTTGGCTGTTGAGTAGTGAGATCGAGATAGAGGTTCCAAATGACGTTTTCCAACTATCTCTGAGGTGCAGTAGCTGCTTTATTAGGAGAACGAAGAGAAGTCGTCGTGCTACCGTAAATGGTGGAACTCTAGCGGGTGTTGCGAGTGGCTTGGTCGATCTCAATGGTTCGCAATTCCAGACGTCAAATTGTGATTGTCTACAATTCGCTCCTCCATGTTGTCGTATCAGCTCAAGAGTCATCAAAGATAGTCGTTGCTAAGTGATCATCAAACTCTCTGTTTGTGACTATGTTCGACGAGGCGCTCGTACTTCTCGTTGATATTGTCGATAAAGAAGCTTCTCATAAACTCGCACGAAAAGCGAAGTGATCACAACCGATGACGGTCTTGGGGTCACCAGTGACGTCAGTCAGGCAAAGGTTTCAGTGGAAATTGAAGTAATTTATCTCAAGAAATCAATCTTGACGTTGAAATCCGCGACGAAGGCCTTGAAGAAAAACAATTTTCTCCAGGCCTACCTCCTACTTGTTGTGAGTTGGTGTGTAATCAACCAAAATTGAAAAGGTGGGCTNTTCAGTGGAAATTGTATAATTTATCTCAAGAAATCAGTCTTGACGTTGAAATCCGCGACGAAGGCCTTGAAGAAAAACAATTATTTTCCAGGTCTACCTCCTACTTGTTGTGAGTTGGTGTGTAATCAACCAAAATTGAAAAGGTGGGCTCGTGCTACATCTTTCAATCGAAAACGTCCGATTCCGGTTGTCAAGCTTTCGTAGAGATCGATGTTCAGCCAAGTACCTCTTGACGAGCTGACCTTCGTATTTGATGTTCCTGGCTGGCTTCCATCATTATGGCCTCAATATACGTTTCCGATGGAAGCGTCCGCGCATTCAAAGTGCAGATCGCCATGTTGATACATCTTTTAGACAACCTAATATAGC